AGGTGGACACACTTGAAGGGAGAAAGAGGCTGCAAATAGATTTAGACAGACTACAAAAGGGGGCAGATGAGAATAGGATGGGGTTCGACATAGGCAAATGCAGGGTGCTGTACCTGGGGAGAAGGAATTCACAGCATACGTACAGGCTGGGGGGTTCCCCTCTTGAAAGCACAGAGGCGGAACGGGATCTTGGAGTCATTACTGACTCCAACATGAACATGAGCCGCCAATGCCAGACTGCAGGCAGCAAGGCCAGCCATACTTTGTCATGCATCCAAAGATGCATCTCAGGGTGGTCCAGAGAAGTGATACTTCCCCTCTATGCAACTTTGGTCAGGCCGGAGTTGGAGTACTGCATCCAGCACTGGGACCCGCACTTCAAGAGGGATGTGGCCAGCCTGGAGAGGGTTCAGAGGAGGGCCACCCGCTTGGTGAGAGGGCAGCAGGACAGGCCCTATGAGGAGAGACTGAGGGACCTGAACCTGTTCAGCCTCAGCAAGAGGAGGCTAAGGGGGGACCTGGTGGCTGCCTACAAACTCATCAGGGGAGATCAACAGAGCCCTTTTCTCCCCAGCACCACCTGGGGTGACAAGGAACAATGGTAATAAGCTGATGGAGAATAGGTTTAGGTTAGAGATCAGAAGGCAATTTTTTACAGCTAGGGTGGCCAAAATCTGGAACCACCTTCACAGGGACGTGGTCCTCGCCCCTACCTTGGGCAAATTCAAGAGGAGGTTGGATCCCCCCTGCCTGGGGTCTTGTGAACCCAGCATTCATTCCTGCCTGTGGCAGGGGGTCAGGCTAGATGATCTGTTCAGGTCCCTGCTGACCCTAGCTACTGTGAAACTACGAAACTATGAAACTAAAGCAGGGTGGGCAAAAGGTGGCCCGTGGGCTGGTTGCGGCCCACCAGGCCATTCTATCCGGCCCATGGGGCCCCTAAAAAAATTAGAAAATTATTTGCCCGACTACCTGTCTTAGGGCCTTCGATGGCTTGCCAAAACTCAGTAAGAGGCCCTCCTCCCAAAATAATTGCCCACCCCTGTACTGAAGTAACACAGTCAAGGTCAAGAATTAGATAGGCAGATCTGGCTGCCTTTACAGCATGGGGATTTCCATAGTCCCCGCTACTGCTGCATGAGGCATGAACCACACCCACTGTACTGTCCCTTGAAAGCAAGGTTAGACTCTGAGCCAGCCAGCAAGGTGCACAGAACACGCTGGGACCTGGAGTAGTTTCCTAGGGGCTGCCCCACAGCACAGACCATCAGATCAGGCTATGGAGTCCTAGGAAGGGGGAGAGCCCTCTGCCATCCCTGATTTATCCCCTGGGGGTTGGGGTGAGTCCTGCTCTGAGACACTGGGCTGCCTTTTACCTGTTCGGATGCCATTGGCTTTCAGAAGCTGGATCATCTCTGCCGTCAGACCAGGACAGAGTCCTGCCTGCAGTATCACCATGGCCCTGCCACGTGCCCAGAGGGGCAGGGCACAGGAGACAGGAGGCCGAACACCACGCAGACACGCACCCTGCACAGAAGAGAAGAGGAAGGGTTTGTATCCTGCAACGCAGAGGTGCCACTGGCCTTGCCTTGTCCCAACTTGAGAAACAAAGCCGTGGCCCACACCAGGAGCTCTGACCGCCAGAGATGCCTGCCAGGCCACCCTGCCCCAAATCAAAGAGCCCCTCCCAGAGCCTCGGCCAAGAGCCTAGTTACAAGCCTGCTTAGTTAGCTCTCCTGGCCCCTGCAGCTAGTCGTACAGGAACTTATCTGTGGTGTACTTTGCAGTAGCATCTACAGGTGCCAATCAGGGACTGGGGCTTCCCTGCACTGGGGTCCTGAGAAGTCAGCACTCGCCCCCAGCTCTGAAGTGGGGAAAGGGAAAGTCCTATGAGTCCTTTGCACAGTCCCAGGATCCTCGTCTTTACATCATCACACCTGGGCCAAGTATGACAAAAAAGAAAGCCAAGAGCGCAAGCCCCTGCCCCTGCACACTTCTCCCCTGCAGCAGCCGGGCCGCTGCAACCTCACGGAAAGCGCGGGCGGCCTGAAGGGAAGCGCCAGCGCCGCCGCCGCTCATCTCGCTCCGCGGCGCCGGGCGCGCGCCGCTTCACGCCAGGCTCACCTCTGCGCTGGGCAGCAGCAACGGGGGGACAAACACCCACCGGCCCCGCGCGGCCCCGCGGCCCCACCGCTCCTCTCCATCCTGGCGGCCCCGCCCCCGGCCTCTTACTTCCGGCGCCTACGCCCAGCCCGCTGCCGCGCCGCGCGCAGCTCCCCCGTGTGGTGGCCACGCGAAATCCCAGCCCTGGGTTCCTGCGCTGCCCCCGGGCCACGACCAGGATCACGGCTCCACGCGCAGCCCCGGAGCACGATAGGCGTGAAGTGCCTCGTTTGCCAATCCCGTTCCGATTGCGAGTGGCACAGGTTCTCCCCAGAGCCACGAGGCTCCTGATCCTGCCTTCAGAGCGGGGTAGGTGAAGTCCCGTGAGCCCCTGGCTGATGGTAGGACTGTGGCCTACAACTGAAAAATATCAGCAGCTTCCCCCAGCTCCTCCGGTTTTGCCACCAGTCTCTTTTCTTTGGTGGGAGTTTTTGCGCCCTTCCGCTGCTCCGCTCTGAAGTCAGTGACCTCAACAAAGAGAGGGTCTCTGCACAGAGCTCGTTGCAAAGACACGCTTGCAAAGAGCTCCGCAAGTCACACGAGTTGCTCCGCTGACTCTCATGAGGCTGCTCATGCAAGTAAGAATAACCACATGCATAAGTTCAGAACTGGAGTCTGTTCCCTCCTTGCTGGGCATCAACAAGCCGGTAAAAAAGCCTTTCTTGGATTTTTGTTTATAATTAAAACTAGGGCCCGTTGGATTATATTAGAAACAAGTATATATACAACTCATGAGCGTGTTCCTTCAGATCCTAGAGCAAAGGTTGTGTAACAAGGAAGCTGCAGAAACATGAATGATTGGAAATAGAACTGAATTTGGTCTATGACTTAAAAGCACTAGAGAGTTTCCAAGGCTCAGCAAAAGAACTAGGGGGTGTGAAAAGCCAGCTCCGCTCCCAGATGGGATACGTCTCTAATCAACCCCTTCTGGCAGATTCTCCTTCCCTTGTGGGTGATGAGCAGGGATCCAGGTTTTCTGTTTCCCTGTTTTTATCAGAGAAAACGCAGAATTCTCTTTTTAGCAGAGAAATCCGATTTTGCAAAAGCTCTTGCAGGGCAGCACAGCTCCCGACTGCACCAGCCGATTTGCAAAAAGGGTGGGAAACCCCCAGCCGTGGTGGGAGGGGAAGGCCACTCCCCCACCAAGGGTACACTTTTTTTAAAAAGTTTGAAAACCCCTGTTCTAATGCAATATCTCCTTTACCTACAATTCCAAAAAGCAAACCTCCAAATACAACTTCCTAGCCATCAACTATTACTATTTAAGATAAAGCTATGATATAGCACATATGGATTATTTAATGTATGGTCTCATCTCCTTTTAGGCCTTGTGCTTTGTTTAATTGTGTTTAATGGTTTCCTTTACTTGCTGACCAAGTTAATTGTCACATTTGCAAAAGTTCACCGTCTCTCAAATACAGGCTTTGGGCCTTCTGCTTAGCACCATTTCTGCAGCTTAACCTAGGCCCCTTGAAAATGGCCAAGGCTGGTAACAGGTTCTTGCAATGTAAGATGAGCCACAGCAAATATACTAGGCTGGATTGTAATTTCAACCCTTCAAACTAGCTTCTCAGGATGTAAACTGAAATCTCATCTTCCTTCCAAAAGTTCCATCACCTGGCCACGTGAGGGCTTGTCTGAGGCTGGGGAATGAACTCCCACAGAAGCTAACTCCCAGTACAAGCCTCCTGACTTTCCACCCTTAAGTACAAGGTGTGTTTCATTCTTGCTTTTTCTAAATAAAGCAACAAATGTATAGGTGCAAAGCACTCCATTGCATGTATCAGACTCTGAAGTGAGACGGAAGGAACAAATATATGTGAGATGTTAATTTTTTGTTACCTGATCCAATCCTGGAAGGTGTGTAGATGCCATCGTGATAAGTGTGGTATAAAAATCTATATAGAACCTAAGACGTCCCAGGTTTTACCCTCCTTAGGGCTGCTTTGACAGTTCTGAGTTTTTGGTTAGATTTCTCACTGAACAACCAAAATCCTTTGTTTCTGTTTTACCCAAAATGTTTTACCCTCATACCTATCATATGCCTATACCTTTTACCTTTCAAATCACTGCTCTACTCTCCCTCCTCTGAGCAGGCTGCCTATAGTGCTTCTGATGAGGGAATCCCTATTAGGTATGTTATCATGGTCTTGGATACATAGACATTTTTCTGTTTGGTGTGTCTTTTTCATTCTAAATTTTAAAATGGCTACTGTAGCCCTGTTTCTAGGAGAGTTTAAGTCTTCAGCATATATAAAACATTATACTAGTGTTGCAAACATTCCATTTAAATAGGAAAGCCTCACACAGCCTATTGTCCCAGGTACCGTGCCACCACAGTTTTGTGACCCACCTGAATGAGACAAGTGACTGAAAGCATAACACCCTGCTAGGGCTCCCAGACAGCTTGTATGTAACAGAGCAGTGGTTTCCCAACCTTTTTGGTACTGCAGACAGGAGTGGGACTGGGCACATGGAGCCAGCTGCCTGGGGCTGCCCCGTCACCCAGCTTTAACCCCACGTGTGACTATCGGCAGCGGAAGCAGCTTGCCCGGGAGGACAGACGAGTCCAAGCAGGGGCCTTGTGCCACAGCCCAGCAGCCAACCCTTCATGGCCCCGTACCAGGCTGCAGCCTGGTGATTGGGAACCTTTGTAATAGAGAACCTAAAGTGAGTGCAGTTCTATATCTAGAGAATCTACAAAGCTAGATGTGCACACAGATGTTTCTGGGCTCCCACCATTTTAGGTGTGATGCAAAACTGCAAAGAGAAGGAAGCATTGGACATGTGAATGGGATTTCTTTCTAAAGTGAGTTCTGGAAGGTGCTGGGAGAGTCTGGCTGTTTCAGCTGCTGTCAGGTCTCTTGTTCCAACACAGGAATCAAACCATTTGTTCCTAAGGCTCAGATGTCTTGTGCTTCCTTAAATAGAAAAGGAAGGGGGTCTGTGCATTGAAGCAGGGGGGTGAATTATCCTGCCTCTGCACTTTTTTTGTTTAAATATCCCATATTTCAGGTCTTTTCTATGACTGCAGGTGTTTGAAATGAATTTTGGTTCTCTGGTAGGAGGCGGCTTCGTAAGTATCTTCTTTTAAAAAGGGTCTTTTCTCTTGAAATCAGACCCTACCCTGTGCACTGGTTCACTATCCTGTCGTCCTTGACTCACAACCACTTCACTGAGATATAAAAAGTACCAGAGAGCAGTGTATCAGCGTAGTACAAGAGTTAGGAGCAATTGGGACTGGCTTAGCAGAGGGGAGACTGTGAACCAAGCTGGTGACCTTCTCAGCATTGGAGATCTATGCCAGGTATGTAGGGCAAGGCTGGGTACACAGCAGAAGTAGGCAGTTTGGGCATTTCATTAAGAAAATGGCTGATTTTATTTGAATTACACTTCTGCAGTGGGGGCGGGGAGCTGATCCCACAGTGACAGGTGACACTGACAGGTCCCAGCGCAGCCAGTATTACCCAAATATGGTTAGGAAGGGAAAAGCAAGATAAGGTCTGGTCTTGCCATGTGATGCAGATACTCACTCTTGAGTGCATTGCGCTGATTTTAATGCCAAAATATTAATGCCAAAGACTGACTGACTAAAAGAACGTAAGGTCTGCTGACTTAATTTTTAAATTGCCAGATTGTATTGGGGAAGAGGAGTAATTTTGGTAGGAGGTTAAATATTTTGGCCAAGCAAAATGCTTTAATCGTCTTCATAATTCTACACAAGCTCTGAGGGTGAAAATGGCTTGCTATGGATTTGCTATCTTGAGGATATTACACATGTGAAGTGAATCCTTAATCTGAAAACTTCATCGTCTTTTTTTTTCGTGCTTGTTTTACTGGTATTTTTAAGGGGATGTTTTCACTTAGAGATAATGATTAGACCTAGATTGTTTGCAAAATCATTTTTAAAGGCATTGTCAAACTATAAAATTTTTAGATGCCCAAATTTTTCTTTTTTGAGTCTCCCACTCCCAAAAGGCTCTGTTTTTCAGAATTAATGTAAATTTCATCCAAGTTTCATTTAGGTTGCATTTCAGAAGTCAAATGTTACAGACTAGTCTGCTGTCCTGATGGCTTTCATTTTGACTCTTTGAAATTAATCACATCATTCGTTTTCCCAGTTTCTTGATGCAAGTAAGCATAAATTCCAGTGCCTGTGTATAGTTTGTACAGGTTTCAGTCGTGTTGGTCTAAAAACTTTGTCTACCTGTGTATAATCTGCTCAGTCAGGCTGCTGAAACCACATGTTCCCCTCTTCTCAGGGGAACCCAGACTATGACATTATTTTGAATATCCTCTTGTTTTTATTCTGCTTTAAAGTCTTTCTTTCATAGGCTTTTGCATTAGTCTTGTAGCTCAAGTTAATATGAGTGTAGCAT